GAAGGGACGGAATGGGGGGGGGACCTGAAGGGACGGAATGGGGGGGTGAAGGGACAGAATGGGGGCGGGACGGAATGGGGGGGAGGGGTGAAGTCGGGGGGGAGGGGTGAAGTCGGGGGGGGGGGGGGGGGGGAGGGGACGGAATTGGGGGGGGGTTTCGTCCATTCGCTCCGTTTCATTCCCCCCTCCCCCGCTGTATCCCCACGGGGTCTCCCACCTGACAGCCCCCGCACTCCGCGGCCCCGCCCCCACCACCGGAAACGGCTCCACAGCCTCAGCGCCGCCATCTTGTTCGGCCTGAGGACCCCAGGGCGCCTGCCCGTCTCACTGCCTGACGAGATTTCTCACTTCAATTTATTTTAATTTTTAAACACATTTCTCCAATTCCTGTGCAAATAAATATGAAACCTCCCTGAAGATGAAACAATGTGCTTACAACTTGTGATACTGCCCAACTGTTGGTGAGATGAATTAATTTCCCTAATTACACACTTTTGTTTATATTTATTTTAACCTTTAACATCTCACTGACTATTTGTTAATGTTATTTCAACATGATGGCTTTATGAAATTTATTATCTGTCGACTTGCTTGAAGTAGTGACGTCTGCTAACTTACCAAATAACAGCAGATGTCATGATGGGCTGAATGGTCTCCTGTGCTATACCGTTCTGTAATTCTCAGAATAGAATTGCAGTCACTGAATTATTTACCTGGCGTCTGCAAGCCACAACAGCAATAACCGCAATATAAAAATCATCATAGCACCTCCACCTGTCTCCTCGACCAAGCTTTTGGACTCCTCTCCTCATATATTATGTGGTTTGGTGACAAATTTTGTTTAATAATTCTCCAATGAAGCACTTTGGAATGCTTTAGATGCTTCTGCAACTACAGGATGTTGCAGCTATTTTTCAACATTGTGCTCTTGGGCACTGTCAGCTGTTACTCAGTAGATAGCAATCCCACCTCTGAGGTAGGAGGTTGAGAGTTCAAAGAGCATTCAAGAGACATGAGCACAAAAATCTGGGCTGATACTCTGTACCAAGAAACCTGAAGTGTAGGAGATGGCAACTTTCAGATGAGATATCCATATCCATGTGTACCAAGACATGTACAAAACATTTGGCCTGATGGATAGCAGGAAGCATTCACATCACTCAAGTGCCAGGCAACACCATCTCCAACAAGAGAGAATCTAAGAGGAATTTTGTAGCCTTGTATTTCACCTCCTGACTCCCCAGATCATGCCCCCCATCTAGAAGGCATAAGATGGAATAGTCTCAACAACATTCAAGAAGCTCAACACCATCAAAGTTAAAGCAGTCCATTTGATTGGCACCCCATCCAGCATTTTCAGCATTCACTCCCTTCTTCAATGACACATCACAGTCGCAGTGTTTAATGCATATAAAATGCACTGTAGTTATTTACCAAGCTCTTTTAACAGCTACCATTGCAAACCCAAGATGTCTACCACCCAGAAGGCGAAGGGCACCAAAAAAATGGGAACACTGTCCCCTACACATTTCCCACACACCATCTTAACTTGGAATTATATTGGTGTTGCTGGGTCAAAGACATGGAATTCCTTTCTCAACAGCACTTGTGAATCTACGCAATACAGCCTACGGCAGTTCAAACTGGCAGCATGCCAACTTATCAAAGAAAATTAGGGATGGGCAATAAATGATCAATTAGAGATGGGCAATGAGGAAAGGCAAATGGAATTGCCGGCTTTTATTTCAAACGGAATGGAGTCTTTAAGTAGGGGTGTGATGCAAAGACTAACCAAACCACATTTGGAATACTGTGAAAGTTTTGGTCTTATCTAAGGAAAGATATACTAGCATGGGAGAACATCCAGAGAAGGATTACTAGGCTGATGCTGTGTACAGAAGAATTTTCTTACGAGGAGAGGTTGAGTAGGTTGGGCCTGTATTCTTTGGAATTTAGTGTAATGAGCGGTAACCTTACTGAAAGACAAGATTCTAGGGGCCTTGACAGGGTAGATGCTGGGAGGTTGTTTCCCTTTGTGGGAGAGTCTCGGAGCAGAGTGCATGATCTTAGAACTAAAGGGGTCACCCATTTAAGACAGAGATGAGGAAGAATTTCTTCTCAAGGAGGGTAGTGAATCTGTTGAATTCTTTATCACTGAAGGCTGCTTCAGTGATTGCCCAGATTGCCCAGATCTTGTTGCATTTGAACACAGACTGCTTCAGTATCTGAGGAATCACAAATGGTGCTGAACATTGTGCAATCATCGGCGAATATCCCCACTTCTGACCTTATCGTGGAGGGAAGGTCATTGATGATGCAGCTGAAGATGGCTGGGCCTATGACCCTACCCTGAGGAACTCCTGCAGAGATGTCCTGGAGCTGAGATGATTGACCTCCAACAACCACAACCATCTTTCCATGTGTGAGGTATTACTCCAACCACCTGATACCCATTGATTCCAGTTTTGTTAGGGCTCCTTGATGCCCCACTCAGTCGAATGCAGCCTTGATATCAAGGGCTGTCACTCTCACCTCACCTCTGGTATTCAGCTGTTTTGTCCATGTTTGAACCAAGGCAGTAATGAGGTCTGGAGGTGAGCAGCCCTGGCAGAACCCAAATTGGGCATCACTGAGCAGTTTATTGCTGAGCAGGTACTGCTTGATAGCACTGTTGATGACACCTTCCATCACTTTACTGATGATTGAGAGTAGACTCATGGGACGGTAATTGCCTGGGTTGGATTTGTCCTGCTTTTTGTGTACAGAACCTACTCAGGCATTTTTCCACATTGTCAGGCAGATTCCATAATGGAACAGCTTGGCTAGTGGAGCAGCAAGTTCTGGAGCACAGGTCTTCAGTACTATTGCTGAAATGTTGTCAGGGTCCACAGCCTTTGCAGTATCCAGTGTCTCCAATTACTTCTTGATATCACGTGGAGTGAATCGAATTGGCTAAAGACAGGTATCTGTAATGCTGGGGACCACTGGAGGAGGCCAAGATGGATCATCCATTTGGCACTTCTGGCTGGAGATTTTTGCGAAAGCTTCAGCCTTATCTTTTGCACTGATGTGCTCGGCTCTTCGTCATTGAGGATGGGGATATTTGTGGAGCCTCCTCCTCCAGTGAGTTGTTTAATTGTCCACCACCATTCATGACTGGATGTGGCAGGACTGCAGAACTTAGATCTGATCTGTTGGTTGTGGAATCGCTTAGCTCTGTCTATCACTTGCTGTTTTCGCTATTTGGCGTGCAAGTAGTCCTGTTTGCTGGCTTCACCAGGTTGATACCTCATCTTCAGGTTGCCTGGTGCTGCTCCTGGCATGCCCTCCTGCACTCTCCGTTGAACCAGGGTTGATTCCCTAGCTTGATGGTAATGGTTGAGTGGGGGATATGTCAAGCCGTGAGGTTACAGATTGTGCTGGAGTACAATTCTGCTGCTGTTGATGGCTCACAGTGCTTCATGGATGCCCTGTCTTGAGTTGCTAGATCTGTGCAAAGTCTGTCCCATTTAGCACAGTGATAGTGCCACACAACATGATGGAGGTTGTTCTCAATGTGAAGGTGGGCCTTCATCTCCACAAAAACTGTGCGATGGTCACTCTTACTGATAGTGTCATGGACAGATGCAACTGCAGCAGGCAGATTAGTAAGGATGAGGTCACATGTGTTTTTCCCTCTTGTTGGTTCCCTCACCACCTGCTGCAGACCCAGCCTAGCAGCTACGTCCTTTAGGACCCGACCAGCTCGATCAGTAGTACTGCTGCCAAGCCACTCTTGGTGGTGGACATTGAAATCCCACACCCAGAGTACATTTTGTGCCCACGCCATCCTCAGTGCTTCCTCGAAGTGTTGTTCAATATGGAGGAATACTGATTCATCAGCTGAGGGAGGACGGTATGTGGTAATCAGCAGGTGGTTCCCCTGCTCATGTTTAACCTGAAGCCACGAGACTTCAAGGGGTCCAGAGTCAATGTTGAGGACTCCCAAGGCAACTCCCTCCCGACTGTGTACCACAGTGCGGCCACCTCTGCTGGGTCTGTTCTGCCGGTGGGACAGGACATATCCAGGGATGGTGATGGTGATGTCTGGGCATTGTCTGTAAGGTATGATTCCGTGAGTATGACTATTTCAGGCTGTTGCTTAGCTAGTCTGTGAGACAGCTCTGCCAATTTTAGCACTAACCCCCAGATGTTAGTGAGGAAGACTTTGCTGGGTTAACAGGGCTGTTTCTGCCGATGTCTTTTCTGATGCCTAGGTCGATGCCAGGTGATCCACTGCCTTGTCTTTTATATTATTACTAGTCACTTCATTGGCTATAAAGTGCTTTGGAAAATCCTCTGGGTCATGGAAGTAAATCCAATGGAAGTCTTTTTTCCACTTTCTTTGCAATCGTTCAGTTGTCAGTTATAAAAGTGTCTCCGATTAGGTGTAAAAAAAAAAGACTCCTTCCTTTTCCAAAGATTTGTTGGAAGGTTAGGGAATGGACAATATAGGAGCTCTGGAGGCACATGCTTCAAGCTATGATGTCACACAGTGAAACCTCAAAGAAACCATCGGACTCGGATTGGAAATCTAATGACAGGACACACTGCTCTACATTGGTTGAGGAGATACGCACATGGTACAAGGATGGAGAAAGGGGTTGAATTAGAGTGGGTGATCAACTGGAAAAGAAACAAAAGGAAAGAAAGAAATGAATCTGCAACAACTAAAGGAAACATCTCTGTTCTGATTCCAGCATCGGCAGTTCTTACTATTTATAAGGAAGCAGTCTCCATAGTTTTAAATTGTTCACATTCTGTTTGGTTGCTATTCACAAATTTTTCTGATGAAGGGTCTAGGCCCGAAACGTCAGCCTTCCTGCTCCTATGATGCTGCTTGGCCTGCTGTGTTCATCCAGCTCTACACCTTGTTATCTCTGATGATTCACCCTGTTCTGCTGTTTATTTCCATGAAAATGGCATCAAGCCCACTGCAATTTTCATGAATTTAATGTGGTTGCCCACCACAGAAATTTAAATCCAGACATAAAAGCTGTAACTCTTCCTCTAAAGATTGTGAATAGCAACCAAACAGAATGTGAACAATTTAAAACTATGGAGACTGCTTCCTTATAAATAGTAAGAACTGCCGATTTTTCTGATGAAGGGTCTAGGCCTGAAACGTCAGCCTTCCTGCTCCTATGATGCTGCTTGGCCTGCTGTGTTCATCCAGCTCTACACCTTGTTATCTCAAATTCTCCAGCATCTGCAGTTCCTACTATCTCTGATACAGGGTAAATCATCAAATGATTTTTGATGAGTCATAACTTAGAGTTAACC